TCTGGGATTAAACTCAGGTTAGGGTCAGTCTGTGGTGGAGTTAATCTGGGATTAAACTCAGGTTAGGGTCAGTCTGTGGTGGAGTTAATCTGGGATTAAACTCAGGTTAGGGTCAGTCTGTGGTGGAGTTAATCTGGGATTAAACTCAGGTTAGGGTTAATCTGTGGTGGAGTTAATCTGGGATTAAACTCAGGTTAGGGTTAATCTGTGGTGGAGTTAATCTGGGATTAAACTCAGGTTAGGGTTAATCTGTGGTGGAGTTAGGGTTGTTACCATGTTGCTCTGTAAAGACTTGTCACTGACTCCACATCTGGATTTAAGTTCATTTATTGTCACCTGGTGGATCAGTGACACATGTGAACAAAATGATTGACAGCTTTCACCCTCAGCTGTTAACATTAGTGTTGATCAATAACATTTAAAGACTTCAGTTAGTGCTTATAAACTTAGCAAGTAATCCACTAATAAATTCTAAAATTAGCAAAAGCCCTAAAGCTCTAATCAGGGAATCAGTTCCCTGTTAGTGCTTTAGTGCTTTAAGGGAACTGTGTCCATCACTGCAAACTGCAGCTCATTTGATGCACATGTCATTAAAACAAAGTTAATGTGTCCTGCCTTTACTTCTAACTTCATCCATGCACCTCTGAAAAAATCATCAGAGTCCACAGCTGTCACCAGGTGAAACACGTCAGGTGAGACAGTGTCTCTCAGGACGTCCTCACAGGGTCCAACTGTCTGAGGTGTGGCTCTGATTTACCTGCTGCTTCAAGTCCAGTTTAGAAAATAGTTTGAGTTTTAAAATATAAAATCCTCCATTCTAATAGTCAGGTTTAAAAGAGAGAAATCAAACTGATCTCTGCTGTATTTTTACTTTTTAACTTTACAAACAGGAGCCTTAAACACTGGGCCTGGTGACCTGGTGGTGTCTCTGAGGAATGGACCAATCAGAGGACAGTATCAGAGTGTGAAAGGTACAGAGAGGAGGGTGAGGCAGTACCTGGGAGTCCCCTTCGCCCGGCCCCCCACAGGGCCCCTCCGCCTGACGGCCCCTCAGAGTGTGGAGCCCTGGGAGGAGGAGAGAGACTGCACCCAGCACCCCCCCATGTAAGACCCCCGACTCAGTGAAACACCTGTCTGTCTGCGTGAAGCCTCACCTGCTGGGTTCTGCTCTCAGGTGTGTCCAGGATCCAGAGCTGGTGGTGAACGTGTCCCGCATCATGTCCCTCCACTACACCCCCCCAGAGGTCTCAGAGGACTGTCTGTACCTGAACCTGTACACCCCCGCTGAGGCCAGACCAGGAGACAAACTGCCTGTGAGTCCAACCCTGACCTGAACCCTGGACCTGAACCCTGACCAGAACCCTGACCAGAACCCTGACCTGAACCCTGAACCCTGACCAGAACCCTGGACCTGAACCCTGACCAGAACCCTGAACCCTGATCTGAACCCTGACTCTGAACCCAGACCAGAACCCTGACCAGAACTCTGAACCCTGACCAGAACCCTGGACCTGAACCCTGACCAGAACCCTGAACCCTGATCTGAACCCTGACTCTGAACCCTGACCAGAACCCTGGACCTGAACCCTGACCTGAACCCTGACCAGAACCCTGACCTGAACCCTGAACCCTGACCAGAACCCTGGACCTGAACCCTGACCAGAACCCTGAACCCTGATCTGAACCCTGACTCTGAACCCAGACCAGAACCCTGACCAGAACTCTGAACCCTGACCAGAACCCTGACCTGAACCCTGAACCCTGACCTGAACCCTGAACCCTGACCAGAACCCTGGACCTGAACCCTGACCAGAACCCTGAACCCTGATCTGAACCCTGACTCTGAACCCAGACCAGAACCCTGACCAGAACTCTGAACCCTGACCAGAACCCTGACCTGAACCCTGAACCCTGACCTGAACCCTGAACCCTGACCAGAACCCTGGACCTGAACCCTGACCAGAACCCTGAACCCTGACCTGAACCCTGACTCTGAACCCAGACCAGAACCCTGACCAGAACTCTGAACCCTGACCAGAACCCTGGACCTGAACCCTGACCAGAACCCAGACCAGAACCCTGACCAGAACTCTGAACCCTGACCAGAACCCTGGACCTGAACCCTGACCAGAACCCTGACCAGAACCCTGACCAGAACTCTGAACCCTGACCAGAACCCTGGACCTGAACCCTGACCAGAACCCTGAACCCTGACCTGAACCCTGAC